GCATCATCTGCATATAAATCTTTAGGTATTATTAAAGGTTATTCTTAAAGATTCCACAGCATACATACTATGTAATTACTTTAAGTTACCCACTGTAAGAACTAACATTATGAAAGCATCTCCTTTATATCAGATGATTGCCAACTATTGCAATGTTGAGGACAGGTTATACATATTTTTTGCACTATTAATGAAATTAAAAAGCGTATTCTTTACTGTTAATTTATAGTCTTAATACTTTATTTTTGTTTTACTATTTTATTGATTCGTATCTATCTATATGTATAATATAAGTGTATCTGTGTGCATATGTATTTATATTTTTATGTCTACTAAGTATTTATTTATGTGTGATGATTTTATATATTTTATATCTACTATATTTTATATATTTTATATCTACTACTGGTCTAATATATATTTTTCTGTGTGTATATGTATGTATATTATATTATGTCTACTATATTTTATGCTGGTATATTGCCATGTCCAATTATTATTATTAATTCTATTTATTGACATATATTTTCAAATGCGCTGTGTGTTATATTACTACATTGGTTTTGTATCCTGTAGCTGGGCATTTGTCTGTTGATGTGCAGTGAAATAAATAAATAAATAAATAAATATCTCTTATAGTTTCCAAGATACCAATACATGCATCACCAAAATGGTCCACACTGTATAGTGAAAAGCAAGTGTTATAAGAAAAGATTAGTTAGACTACTGAAAAACCTCTTTCTATAGTTGAACAACTTCATGGTTGGTTGACACGTCGTCAGTTTCTGCTGACAAAGAAAGAGGTATGTCTCGAAACGTCAATATGTCTAAACCAACGACGTGATAACTAACTCAAAAATTGACACCATTGACAACTGCCAGAGAATCCTAACCTCTTTCTATGTAATCTAAGACAATATTTGCTTTTGGATGCACATAGTTTATGAATTAATTTTGTTTTTCATTTCATCTACCAAAATTGCAGATAATTAAGTCAAGGTTAATTTTATTATAAAATGTGTCCATTTCTGGTAAAATAGGGCAAGTGTAAAGGAGACAATTGTGTTTAAAACTTACATAAAACTTTATTCAACATAAAAAAACAAATTATAAAATAAATAAAAACAATTTTCGTATATCTAAGACTTCCTTAAATGTAAATATAAAATAAAACTGGTATAACATTTAAAGTATTTAAAAAAATAGTATTTTGTGCGATGTGCAAGTGTCATTTAAGCAGTTGAATTTCAGTTGACGATACAGAGGCATTTCAGTAGAAACAAAGACCTTAATTTATCATCAGAGGGCACTGTATACGTCTTTTCTCAAAATTTGGGCACGGGAAGACGGAAATATCCACTATTGTGAAGAGTTCCGCACATAAAAGGCGAAGAGCGCTGCGCAAAGCTGCAACAGAAAGGAATAGGGTTATCCAAGGTCATTTGCACTTGTCACTATACAGCGTGATTCACTTAGACATGCTCGGGATGGAATTTCGGGAAGGGAAGAGATTCATAGTTAAATTTAAAAAAAAGTTGCGCAAGATAAGCAGTTTTGAATGATGTTTTCCTGTAACTTTCGCTTATCTGTAGAAAATTGGAATTTTGTGAGAACTCCATTATTTTCTTCTATCTTGAATAACTTCATAATTATAAGTATAAAAGAATTAAATTTTCAGATACCACATAAATTAATATCTGGCATTGACTGGTGCTATTTTTTTTAAATCTGATCAACTATACACCTCTTACAGCTTCCAAGACCATCCTTGTGTTATATTAATCGCATCGAGGTTATGGTTTTCAGCATATTCCTCCTTTTGTTCTGGATCAATCAAAGGAGCCCTCACTGTCTTTATGAAAATGTGGGCTCTGTCAAATTGGCTGAAATTGTGGTAAGTTGTTGGTTTTGTGTTACTGACTAAAACTCTCCACAGTACTTGAGTCAGAAAATCAATTCTTTTCTACTTATAGTGGTCTGAGTCAGTTCTGCTGATGATGGTATTGCAAAGTGGTAAGAGTAGAATATAAAAACAGTAACTTTGTGGAATGTTTATAGAAAAAATGAACTGAATGACTTCGAAAAGTTTCTAGTTACTGTGGAAAATATTGGTCAGTAACACAAACCCAACAACTTATCACAATTTCAGCTAATTTGACCGAGTCCAAAGGAAGAAATTAAGTACCGGAAGTCCCCATCTAAATATTTGAATAAATGTTCTATATAATTTAATCATTTAGAAATACTCAGATGTAAATTTGAGTTTTAACAAGCAGATCACTTATTATACGAGTTTACCTTTGTCAAAGACGTGATGTCAGAAACAAGAATCATTGAAAGTTTGCGTTATTTATTTATTTATTGTCAGATATATGCTTTTTCACTAATAACATTTGAAAAAACACAATGGACTCATTCCGTATATACTTTTTTAATGCATGTTCAGAAAATATACAGCACAGTCTAATGTTGTGGGAAAAAAATTAGAACTAAAAATAGCACAGCTACACAAAAAAAAAGTTGTCTGTACTTTTCATAAGACATATGTTATCCGTAGTATTTTTGCCTTCTAATCACAAATCCGGTGTCAGAATTGAGCTATCATATCACAGGAATTTGCTAACCTCGGAAAACAGGTCAAAAATGGCAAAAATCCACGAAAAAGTGCTAGGAAAAATATAAAACATTTTTTTTTCTTTATTCAAATATCCATTTATATGGTTAAGACCCCGCCGAACGTGAATCCGCGGTCAAAATTGATAGTTCTTTTTCTAACCTCAAAAAAAGGGTCAGATATCACGAATTTTCAAAAAATAACAGATTCGCGCCAAATTTGGTATATAGGTGTTGTCGAGGTCGCTCATTACGGATCCGAGGTCAATTTTACAAAATTCAAAATGGCGGATCCAAGATGGCCGACCAAATTTTCAAAAAATAACACATTCGCGTTAAATTTGGTATACGTGGGTTTTCTGGGTCGCTGATTACGAATTCAAGGTCATAATTGCGAAATTAAATTTTTATAACTTTTATTTACTTTATAACCTGATCCCCAATCATGTTTTAACCTTTTTTTCAGCTATATTTTGTTTTTTTTTCTGTAAAAGATCTATTAACGGGTTTTCTGCCGAATCTCGGGTAATAAAGTACATAGGTAATTGATTAAATTTTTAAAAACGAATTTTGTAAATTTGATCTCGGAACATTTGAATATAGAAAAATTTTTTTTTGTATTTTTCCTAGCACTTTTTCGTAAATGTTTGCTATTTTTGACCTGTTTTTTGAGGTTAGGAAATTTCTGTTATGTGATAGCTCAACTCTGATGCCGGATTCGTGATCACGAGGCAAAAATAATACGGATAACATATGTCGCATGAAAAGTACATACTAATTTTTTTTTGTGTCGCTATGTAGGTAATTAATGAAGAGGGAGCGCGGGAAAATGCACGGATGCCACGTTGTGACGTCATACCACTCGTTAAAGTCTGACCCACATACTTGACTATGTACATCATATGATATCTCTAACTATGGAAGCAGATAAAAACAAATAAATGAAACTCAATTAAAAAATTGCTCATGAGAGGAAAAGATAGTTTTGTTAGCTTTTCTTAGTATTTCTTTTTGCTATATCATGTAGCTATCATGTATGAAATTTGCATATAAGTTGAAGTGAAGTATTTGCACAAATAATGATGATATATGCCCAAAATAATCATTTATGATGATTTATGTTATGATCTTTTTATGATACATAAAGTTATTAGATACCTACATATTTAGATGTACACAAAAATAATACTATTTAAGTCAAACAAATTATCTGATTAAATACCAAGCGAAAAAAAGGCGACAAGTGACATGTAACTTATACCGTTCTTGCACCAGTTTATAGCATGCGACAAGTCGACAAGTGATTTTATGTTTTAGTTCAGCTTCTATTAAGCCCACAGGCTCCATAATCGTACCAGATCAAAGGAGTATATTTTTAAACCTATGTCGTCAGAATTCAGAAATATTTAAAAAGAATGGACTGCAATTTTCAATTGAAATATTAAATACTAAATATTTTGCAGTAGAAGCGTTTTTAATTAATTAATTTGAGTGGTGTGATGTCACAGATGTTCTCTTTCAAATATTTTACTATTTAAAAATTATTTATCACGATTCATATTAAAGAAGATAGATAAAAAATGTTGTGTGAAAATTTTTACACCTTGTTTCTTAAAATGAGGACTAAGATTAAGATGTTTAATATTTGCACTTTACGTAAGTACATTCCACAAGGACATACCATTATTTGTTTTATTATTGTGTTACTGATAACGCTGGAACACATTTTATGTTAAGGTATTTATCTTAAATCCTTTTATAGGGCTGTTAAAGTTTAATTGTACACAATTTTCTCCAGAGCAAAGCTAAAAAAACGCTTCAGAAATAAAGTAACTAAATTCTTTTTTTTTTCAAATAAAAATAAGCTTAAACAATTTTTGTTTTGTTACTGTTTTTACTTATATTGTTAGAATATTTATGGCAATAAGATCAGATTTTAGAGCAGTTTTCATCTGTACTAGAGACATGACTACATAGATCTTGTGTATTTTATGCTGAATTCATTATTTCGTAGCATTCTAATACCGGGTAGGAAAGTACCGATGGTATATCAGAAGTTACGTGAGAGCAATAAAGTAAGCCATAGAAATCCATGCGATAGAGAAGGATTCCACAAATAAGATTCACTTCTTATTAGTGGAAGGGCGAAATGGGCGGTATTTATATTTCTATTTTAAGTACTTGTTGTTTTACATCCGGAATCAATCTACATAAAATAAAACTGTAAAAATTGTAAAAAAATATTTTTATATAAAAACTACCTTGAATCAAGAATACATTAATATTGAACTAAGCAAAATTTCTTCGTTTGAAAAAGAAAATCTTTTTTCGAGGTAGACATTGCACTTGATTCAAGATAATATTTTCTTCTGTGCACGTATACTTACTTCTACTACTGCAAAGACTATCGCAATAATTCCTATGATTTTAAGATTTGTATTCAAAAAGTCCGTCATAGCAGAGACGCATCCTTTCTGGAAAGCAATTGTAGTGGTACATGTTGTAACAGTCTTAGAGCAGCAACTCGACATGACCTGTGTGTTATTTTGTACTTCTGAACCAGTTGGGCCATCAAGTCCACAACATTCGTACTACAATCAAAAATAGAAATATGTAATTGTCAGATAATAAAACATTATTATTATTAAATAGGCAATAAATAAATGTGATTCTTGTTGAAACAGTGAAACATTGTGAACGAAGACCGTAGTTTTGATTTATTTTTTAGTTTGTTAAAGATTATAAAAAAATAAGCCAAATTAACAAAAAGTCGAATGAAATGAATATGGGGCATTCTATGCCAAAACACTGAGATCCTGACCTGATCATTTTTAATTTTTTGGTATTATTTAGTACATATTTAGAGTAGTTTTCATAAATTTTTTCAAATTTTTATTTCAACCCCTCAAAAAGTTACAAACATTTTAATATTTTGGGTAAAAATTTTTCAAATACCTGTAACTTGGCAAAAAATAAATAAATAAACTTTTTTTTTCGTTCTATTCGTTTTGAGGTGTAGTTTTATAAAAAAAGACACATTTTTAATTTTTTGATTTTAAAACTAAAAATTCGCATAAAAATATTTTTTTAATATGGAAATTTATGAGAGCTTCTAGAGTGGGATCTTTTTTATTCTATTTACGCCAGTGGCAATTTTTTTCATGGGAAAACGGAGCGGCACCTTCAGTAGTGCCACTAGTTAGTGCCGCGAGGTTAATATTACATTCAATAAAAGGTCTAATTATGTGAATATTCTGCAGTAAATTTCATTCAAATTGTTCAGCGCAGTATGAAGACATGACAGAAAATACAAATTTTTTTGGAAACTTGAACACCCTACATCTCCAATACAAAGTCAATAGGAAAAAAGTTTATAGAGCAAACTCAACTTATTTTTTGGCAACTAATCTATTCCTGCATTTTCTGTATTTAAAGTGAAATCACCCTGTGTATATTTTTTTGATGTCGATGTCTGCGTTTTAAAATAATTATATAGACCGACAAATTGTGCCTGAAAATCTAAACCAGAACTTAAAAGTGCTAAATATACGGATTTTCTCTGTATTTGAGGTTATGTTACACCACCAGGTAGTTTTTCCCTATAAAACTTATTATGGCATTTGATCCCTTCTTCTTCAAAATCCACTTTGAATGGTCTGAATATCCGTTTTCCTCTCCAAGAAAACGTTTGTTGATACTGATTATTTTCACGTTTTCGTCCATATTCAGAAATTGAGCAGCATCAGACCCAAAAAGAGGTAAGAATTAAATTACAAACACCTAAATTCCACTGATCCTTGATCCCAAAATCCTGAAGAACCAGTGAGAATTGAGATGTTTCTAATTCGGTTCTTCTCTCTTTTTGAGTTTTCACCTGAGGCTATTCAATTTCTGGATATCGAAAAATACGCTAAACTAATCATTTCACTCAAACCAATTATTGGAGAGCAAAAGATATATTCGAACGACTCAAAAAAGTAGAGTACCACTGTCAGATGCCATAATATGTTTTTGAAGAAAAATTAGCCTTTAATGTAACATGAGTTTGGTTTGAAGATGCGTTTTTCGCACTTTTAGGTTAAGATATCTCGAAAAACTGACATAATGAAGCAATTCCGATGATTAATTCGAATTCAGTGAGATAAAAAGCTATGGAAAATGACTAATAATCTGACAGATTATTTTTTAAGCATCGTGTTTGGTTTGTGAATCTCAATGTTAATGACCTTGGACATTGACTCAGTGTAGATCAAGTAGCTGAACTATATAATATCAATCCACCTGATGTGGTATGACAACAGGGCGATAGGTGTGCAAAAAACAAATAGCTAACCAAAAAATTAATAAAATAAATGAGTTTCACAAAGGAATTTGAGAAAATAAGCTTATGGCAAGTGTTTCTAAAGGTCGAAGGCACCCCCCAAGTTACACTTTATACAGTGAATAGAAAGTTTGGGTACCTTTAAGTACTGGTGAAAATGAGACACACAAAACTCTATTTATTCGGTGAGTATACTTACACCGCGATGGATGACCTCCAAAGTCTCCAAATTCAATGAATTCTGATTATTATATAGACTTGTCAAGTGATCCCTGATAAAGCTTGAGACTTCCGTGCCTTCATTTCTAATCGCAACGAACGCTAGTATAGCAAGGACGACCTGGATGATGAAGAGAGTCAGAACTATAGCTGCGTACTGAAAAAAAAAATATATTTAAATTAAAACCATGAAGTCCAAAATTGGTATCTATTGATGGTTAGGTTTGACTTACCGTCGTTAACATACAAGAACTTTCCTTGATGGCTCCGCAACATCCAAAGAAGGCAATTAGTGATATTATGGCACCTATGGCTATAGCTAAAGAGCTAAGGGACATAAAATCTATGCCGCTACTGTTTACCTTGTAAATAACACCGAGGGCTATGAGGGCTATCCCGCATATCTGCAAAAAAAAATAGGAACAGTGAGACAAGATATCCTTACGAAATTATTTTTTTCACAACTTAAAGAAAACACTTCAGTTATTATTAAAATTTATGTTTCTAAACTTCTGTAATCTAGAGCTAGTCGTCATTAATATTTGGATTTAGTAACTTCATATACGGGATGTCCCAGACCACCCGTCCACCCCTTCTAAAATCCAAAGTACATTGTTATGTGAAAAATGGTTCAGATGAAAGTTACTGGTCTTCAAGGTGCACATTTGTCGTGACCTTGTCTGTGTCCTTGAAGGTCATTTTCAAGCTCATTTCAAGGTCAATTTAAGGTCAAAATTAAGAATGAGGGTTCCTACGTAAAAAATCGAGGTTAACCTTGAAAATTGTTTCCAACGACTCAAGGTTATCGAAACATGTCTCTTTAAAATTTTGCAACGTTTATCTGACACATTTTTCGCTAAACTTTTGCTTTGTGGAGTCACTGGAATTTATCGGCAGAGCGGGAGTGGGAATGACTGAGAACAATTGCTCTGCCGCGCGCCACATGCATTTCAAAGTGCATATGGGCGATAAAAGATTACTTTTCTCGGGAACGGTAGTTTTTTCAATTTGACATAGCAAAATGAGAGGAATAAGTATATATCTTCAAAAATCAATAAAATAAATAATTTTTGCCAGAATTTTGAGTTTAAAGAATTATGCCACTTTTGTTAGCTTTTAAAAAATAGTTATATTATTCCCGCTCTGCCGATAAATTCCTGTGACCACGGTACCTATCTTGATTTTTCTTTCATTAGTTTTTATCTGCCGAAAATGCACTAAACGGATATCGAAAGTAGTTGTAGTTAACAACAAAAACATTTTTTTTCTCGACTTGTTTATAGAGTAAAATGTTGAAAAATTTAAAAAATTCTGAATGGTTATAAAAGTGTAAAAATAGGTATTTTTAGTATTGATCATTGTTTATTATGATAACAAGTATCTCTAAAAAATTGTGTGAACTTTCTATATCTTCTTAATTAACAATCCTGTCAATCGAAAACCACGCTATAGATCATTGCAAAATTTTTAGGGTAGAATTGACATATGTTTTACTATTTGTTCACATAGTTTCATTAATATTTATGAATATTTACTTATTTTAAAAATTGCTCTAAATATACATATGATTTTTTACTATTTTTCGCCCATTGTCAATGCAACATTCNTAAATATTTACTTATTTTAAAAATTGCTCTAAATATACATATGATTTTTTACTATTTTTCGCCCATTGTCAATGCAACATTCAATTTTTTTGATTCGCAGTTATTGTAACTTTATAGAAAATCGTCAAATAAACAAAAAATAAAGAATAATTTTTTTTATTTAGGGCTTACTTTCAATGTTACAGGGAAAAATATGTCGAGAAACGGGGGTCATTTTTCGTTGTTTTTGTGTTTGTTGTTCCCTTGAATGTAGCAATGGTTCTTTGGAATCGGCAAACTCGGATTCCTATTCTACATAATATTTGGAATTTTACTGTACAACAAAATAGATGACTTCAAATATAAACGCCTCGAATGCTCTACCGCCTGGACTAATATTATCTTATACCATACGTTTCAAAAAATGCACCCAGTACAATTTTGTTTACCTTACAATTTTTTGTATGTCAAGCCAAAGCTAAATTTATTTTCTATTTTTATACAATTTTCTCGCAAATTAAAAATTCATCCTGAAACATATACGGACCATTCATTCCGAAGAACATCGTCAACGTTACTGGCTAATACAGGAGTTGATGTATTAGCAATCAAGAGACATGGTGGGTGGAAATCAGCCACAATTGTAGAAAGTTATGTTGCCGACAGTTTAAGTAACAAAAATGAAATAGCCAACAGGATTCTTTACAATGACACTTCAACTCCAGGTTCTTGTAGTACGTCGCATCATGCTGTTTTAATGGATCAGTCAGATAATATTGAGCCTCCGGTGACTGAAATGGAGCTGCCAAATCATTTTGAGAAAAACTAAACGTAAAGGAATAAATTACTTGCTTGCTTGCTTTTTGGTTATTTTACGTCGGCTTATTTTTCTACTATGTCACTTTGTCATCTGGTAGGAATCTGTTACTTGCCTAACATTGCTTAGACAAGGGACCAACGGCTTTACATCCTTTCGAAGAGATGCATGTCTCTCTATACAAACCTAAATTTGTATAGCTTCCGTGAATACACAGATATACAAGCCACTAGAAGGTGGGCGAGCATCGCGAACCTTCCCAGGATGGTCACCCACCCAAGTACTAACAGCGATCAGCATTACTTGACTTTTCATATCGCTGACATGAATGCCATGTCGCTAGGCCTTAGCATAAATATTTTTTCTTTTATTCCTCGTAAATCGCAAGTACAATAAATTTAATGATGCAATTTGTCAGAAATAGTACATATATCACTTTAAACTTGCAGTACCTAAGCTTTATGGCACTTATTAAAATATTTTGTACGTTTTTACAATACAAACAAGATTTGCCTCGGTTCAGTTCGCATCGTCTCGCTTTGCATAGCTTCTTCCTGCTTGGCTTCGCTCGCACGTGTCAGCAAGGATACTAGTAATAATTCTTAATTTGCCATATCGAATAGACAGTCCTTGTATACATTTTATTTTGCTTTGTAGGTGCATTTCTATTAATTAGAATTGAATAGGCCACGTTAATTTCACGAGGATAAATGCTACGTTTTAAGTTCACAGGAAATGCTGGGTACATTGAAAAATATCCACAAACAATGGCTTGCGTAACCGCCCTTGAATTCACTGGGAAAACGGAAAATCCTACTTAGTGAATCACTTTTAGACATACAAAGGCATGACAAAAGAATTTGATTAAGGTGTAAATCCTTGGTAATAATCGCGAGACAAACAATTTCAATTAACTAGAATTTTCATACATTTTTGTAAACAGAGCTGTAAATAGAGATACCCTTATCAGTTTTATCTCAGAAATGGATCGATAGCTTAAGTAAATAATGTATGAGCCACTTCAAAAAAGTGGTACAACAAAAATCCTTAGATGCAAAGGGTAATAGGCTTTGGAAACGAAAACTATTATTGCGTATTGAAAAAGACAGTTTTTCCTCTGTTTTTCGTTAGAATAATGATGAGAATGTTGAAGTTTGCGGTGAATAACATCATCAGAATATTAAGAATGGCCACGCCCTAACTGTACACGATTTACATCGTGTACTAATGCATTGACGTCACAAACGATTCACTCTGAATGGTTACACCTTTTCTTATAAAACCTTGGTTTCCATACCTTGCGCTTCAACTAATTTTTAGCGTGCAATATTACTTGGATGCTTATACAGCAAAATGTTTGTGCTGGGATTAATAGAGCATTCGAAGACTCTTTTTCGCTTTGCGGTTAACTTTTTGCAGTTTAACTCGAAAATTAAGGCGTTCCTCTTCATTTATTTCGCGGTACGGCGAAGAATCTATGCCTTGGCGATGAATGAAAAAGAATTCCAGCTACTTGGCGATGTGGCTGCAGCATTTAGGTCACTTGTACTAACACCTTGGAAATGCTAGAATAATTATTTTAAATGGCCTGTTAAAGGTCAAACATCAGTCAGACATGGGGTAATAGCAAAATAATAAGTACATCCGCTGCCATTGGTAGGTGTACTAATGACCATGGCTAAACTTAGAATTTTATACTTATTCTATTAATAATTTGTTATACTTTTTTGGAGGTCAAAGCAAGCGTTGGTTTAGGATTTAGGCAAATCAGAAGTTTTAAAGAACTTTTATTTGTATTATAATATTATAAGAAGGTAGTTCAAGGAAATCATGTTGTCAGTTTATCCATATAGGCCAAGCAAATAAAATTTTTACTCGAAAAAAGTCCTATCCGCGAGACTATTGCAAAATTGTCTAAGGAACATAATACAAGACATCTCTCATCTCGAAAAAATCAAGTTTTAATGTTTATAAACAATTGCGCTACGATTTAAAAAAAATAAATTTATCTTGGCTCCTGTTGGTCGTAGAGGGTGCTTTTTTAAAAACAAAAATGTATTTTTTTGCCAGCTATCCATTGAATCTGTTTTCGGTGAGGTAGCATAAATAGCAACAATTTTATTAAAATTGTTTATAAGCGAAAAACGCACGGTTTTTAATGCACAATTTGAGAATGTTAATGTCAAAAAACGGTGATATTTTTTAATAGGTCGCTTAATTACATCTTTAAGATTACAATGACGCTTTCTGAATCATGTTTGGTTGAAAATTAACGCCTGTACAGAGGCTTAAAGTTCATAACTTTTGGAGCCTCCGTTATAAACAAATTGAATTGTGCGAAAACTATTTTGGCACACTTTTAAAGTATGATAAAACCCTCAAGTTGTCATAGGTTTTATAAAATTTTAACAATAAATACGATAGTTATAAAGAAATTTAAAAATGGGCACTTTTCTTGTTTTTTTTTTGTAATAACTTTTTTGTTTATTAACCGATTTTAATTTAACAAGTCTCATTTTGTAGAAAATTTTATTCCCTACAAGCTGTCTGAGAATCACTTTTCGCTAAAATTGATGGTTTTCCCTGCAAAGTGAAAAAACTGTTTTCCTCACTTATTTGTTTAAATAGAAAAGTTAGCTAATAAAATCACGAGTCACGAGATGAGAGATGTCTTTTTTTCGAGTTTCTCTTTTATTTTCGCTAATTTTCCTGGTGTAATATTTGTTCCGTCGTTTTCGAATATTTGAACACGCGATTACTTTTAATCTTGCTTAAATTAATCTTACTTAAATTAATCCAAAAAGCACAAAATCTCGGCTGACAGCAAGATTATATTGACTCATTTTATTGTTAATTTTTTTTAATTGCCATGCATTGTTTCCATATCTACGAAAATAAAAGTAAGCGATAAAAATATGTTTTATAAGCAAGCTTATTTGTAGGAATAACTGGGAAAATTAAAGTCCTTCTATCGTTTGTATTCAGTACAAATTTTTTAATTTTTTTTTTAGTTCGGCTATTATGCCATCTCAGGGACGAAGAAACTGTAATATTTAATAAATCAACTTCAACATATAAACAAAACTTATTTGTTATAATCACTATATGAAATCCAATTTTATAATCTTGATTTTATTTTTATTATACTGTTTATATCTATTGTGACGTACCTTTAGGTACAATAACAACTTTATTTACTTCTTACAAATATGTAACGGTATCCTTATCGACAGAATTTTGTTGTTTTGCTTAAATTTTCATTTTATAAACTAATGTATAAAAATAATAGGTAATTGTTTATTTATGCGATATAAAATGAAAACACAAATAGGTCAAATATTTAAAAACTGCCTTTATTTTTGAAAACTACTCGTAGTCGCAGATTTTTTCAAAGCATGTCTTAAAATATAATTTTTGTTTCAAATTTGGTTAGTTAAACTATCATTATGTAGGTACCTACTGCTCATTATAGGAAGATAAAATTAAAACACTTGCGTAGGTAGCTTAAACGTATAAAGTTTATCAAATATCAGAGAATCAATATATCCATTAACTGTTAGACATGGTAAAATATCTACATTAAAAATTTTGGTTTCGCCTATAATTAACGTAAAACTGCTTAGAAAAGTTTATTTGACTGATTTGATTTAAAGGAAATAATCCAAAAAATAGTACATGAAATTGCTCAAATATTTTTCCGCACTGTATATAGCGTATAAAAAAAACTCAAAATTGCATTCACTTACCAAAATAAGTAAATTGAAGAGGAACAAAATATACTTGGCTATCCCAGCCGTAAAATCACGGAAACACCCCATTTTTTTTTAATACAATTGAAGCCGATACACACCACCGAGCTTTTCCTGCTGTACTAACTGATGTTATTTGAGCTCACAGGCGTTAAATACAAAATACTCGAACTCTTATCTGCCTTAGTGTAACCGTAGATATAGCTTCAACAACGAATTATCTGCGATTGTCGAAAATGACTCACACACTCGCTGCTGTACTTTTCAATTCAGTTTGTGTTTTGAAACAGCTTGTTTAGCCTAGAGTGAGAGCTTGTTGCAATTTTGCCATAACCTTGTGGGCAATTGCAGTATTTACTAATTTCTCCTGTAGCGATTACTACAGTCCACATATTTTATACGGCGTATACAAATTGATTCACAAAAAGGATTTATTGTAATGTGTTTGACAGGTAGGTAATAGGGACAATGGAGGAATAACGACTACCTTTACCTAATAATTGATAAGGATGCCATGAACACATTTTCAGTTCATTTGACTGTACCCCCTTTTCCATTTGTTTTATGTGGTGTCCTTTCGCCCACCCTATACAGACGTGAAATATATCTCCACAAATAATGTAGAGAAATTAAAATTTGTCAAGTCTGTGATCGATGTGCAGCATCCACACGATACGACATATGTTCACGTGTAAGAAATATTTGACAAGGGATCGCATCGTCTAGTATAAGAAAGTTTTGACTTAAATCTAACTCATTCGATGACAGAGACACGGAGGATGTTGAAAATTGTCAATTGTCAACACCACCGTAAATTTAAAAAAAAAATGAAGGTAAGGTGCTGGTTCGACAACTGAAATGAGACTTGATAATCTGTTATTGGTTTTTCCCTAACATTACGCAGTTTGAAATAAGTATTCAGAATTCGTTTCACAAACGATACAGTCTATTGGTATTAATTGCTAAAGTTCGATGCATCATTTTCCAAATGCTTGTTCTAAAACTATGATTCCGTCATATTTGGTGATCCAATATCCCTTTCTTTAAAATGTACAGCTGCGAACAAACAAAAGTAACCTAACCTAAAATATTTAAAGAGGTTTAAAGAACGAAATTATTGTCCTAAGCTGTATTGTAGCTTACGAGTATTGTAGGTAAATCCTTGCTATATTAATAGGTTTGAAGTCAATACTAGTAAATTTTACAATAAAAGTAATGTAAACTGTTTTACGGATTTATAATTTTTATACTTTTTTTGCTGCTTTACAGCTAAAAGTGTTATTGGAGTATAAATTACGTTGAATAAGCGAATTGCTTAACAATATATAAAGCTAAACAATTTTTTTCTAGAAGTTTTCATTTTAGCCATTAGTCCTTTTATTAGTTGATTATTTTGTCTTCACTTTCAAATTTGTTTCAGAATGTTCGAAATAATTAAGCATTTTATAAATTATTGGGTATAATAAATTTTGTCCTTTTTCTTTCTGAAAAAATTTTTTTGGGATATAACGTATCTAATATTGAAATAGCTTACACATCAAAAAGGTATTATTTTATTGGCATTCCAACATTATCAAAATCAACAGATACCTACACTTTTTATCTCTAAATCGATTACTCATAAACTATATTTAATTAATTACCGCAAATTTACCGAAAATTTTGTCAAATAATCTTATCTTTATTAAAATTTAGAAAATAAATACTTTTATTCATGTGTAAGAAGTGACTCATTTATTTAAACCTACGTCAAGGTTTTATTGGTCTTGTAAACCGTAAAAAGTTCGGTGGTTCAAGAGTTTAGAAGAAATCTGGTAAGTTATACAACCTTTATCATGAAATGTATTTTATCACTTGATAAGCCATCTCGATCAATTCCTTTGTTTCATGTCACTGGGGTTTATAGACAAGAAATCGCACTTTTAATAAGCCAATTATCGAACAAGTAGATCTATCGACGAAGTGACGAAACGTAAGGCTCAACTATACTAGAGCAACTTCCTCTAATTTTTCGCATTGAAAGATCACGAAGAACATGCAAACATAAGAAAATGTACCTTTCCTGTTTTATCAGCAATTTTGCAAAAAAACTCATTCTCTGTTAATAGTTTCCTCCTTCAAGAGACCTGCAAAATTTAGGAAACGTAAGATAAACATACGAGGTAAAAACATGCTTTTTTTGCTTATTTTGAACGTATTGTCAGACCCTTTATCCGCCCTTCTGCTTTCCAACCACCTATGTACTATCCTTAGGTATGTCGCCATCGCCCCCCTCACAATCCACGTAGGGAAGGTCAGCAACCCCAAGACGATCTCTAATGCGGACTAAGTTTGACTTATTGGTCTTCTAGATAATATGCAACTAAAAAATTGGAACAAACTAATCACCAATAACGTGTATTCCCTCCTCTTGCGTTAATGACTGCTTGAAATCGACGTGGCATACTTGCAATTAAGTTATAGATCACATTCTGGTTATTCCACTCCTGCAAAAGCATTTCTGTCAGCTCCTGGGCAGTTCTTGTACTGATGGACTTGGAATACGTCGTCCCAACTCATCCCAGACATGTTCGATGCGATTCATGTCTGGACTGCGAGCTGGCCAATCAAATCGCCTACTTCCGACTTCATCCCGATACTCTATAGTAACTCGGGCTACATAAGACCTAGCTTTATCGTGCTCATCCATAGTAACCAGGAAAGGCATAGCATGATTTTCTAGAATTTCTGTAATGTACCTTTGAGCTGTTAAAGAGCCATCCTTTACAAAAACCAATTCTGTACGTGCTTGTGAAGAGATTCCCGCCCAAACCATAACAGACCCACCGCCAAATGGAAATCCCTCATCAATACAAACAAGCGTATCTTTCTTCAGGTCTTCTCCAAACTCGTCGACGTCCGTCTGGCTCAGTTAAGCAAAAACGCGACTCATCTGAGAACAGTACCCTGCTCCATTCCTCCGCATTCCACGCCAGATGATTTCGGGCAAAAGTCAATCTTGCATTTCGATACCGGGGTTGAAGTGGTGTACCTGTAGCCACCCTTCTACAAAACAATCCAACAGCACGAAGCTTTCTTCTAACGGTCTATTCACTTACATTTACATTTCTCACTTCTTGATGTTGATTTGGCAATGAAACCGCGGTTGCTGTTGTATTCCGCAAAATGGTGGACACCAAGAAACGGTCATCTCTTTAGGTTGTAACTCTTTTTCGCCCGGATCCTGGTCTTCTGGTTGTACACCAAAAAGGCCCAAACCTACAATTCTTGCTGTTTCACGTTGCCCCCGTTCTAACAACGCTATTATTCTGACCACAACAACAGGTCCAAATAGACCAGTGCAAAAAATGCAAATTTTCGCTATTTTTGCCTACCATTGCAAAAGTTTATATCCGATTGAAAATATAAAGTAATCATTACTTGAAACATAAATCAAGCTTTAAAATGGCGTTTTATAAAAGTTGATAAATTAATTTGTTGCTTAGAAATTTGCAAAATATGGGAAAAATAAAAATTGACAATAAATCTTGTAAAAATGCTCCTACAACTATGTTATATATGCATGAAAAGTTGGGTCTTGTGATACTTTATAATCCCTCCAAATTTCAGATCGATCTATCAAATAGTTTAAATTTTATTCAAATTGTTTATCCCCAGAGCCCTCGTTTTGCTATAACATTCGTCAGAAAATAATGAAGATACAGCAATTCTACGGGTACCATAAGAAAGAAGAAAAGCTAAACTATCATTATGAATAAAAAAAAGTGAAAAAAAAAATCATTTTTTTTATTGAAAATTTGTTTAAAAAATAGTAACATTTTTAATTTATAAATAAATTGAATAACTTTTTCCCTATTGCTCGGTGATAAATTCAATGTTTACTTGTTTCTAAAACAGTACAAGATTGCTACGAGCATAATTATAAAGTTGTATTTCGGAGCGAGTTGTTTCTTACATAATATATCTTGCGAATCTTGCCACAAATTACACGACTAATCGAATTAAAAATATATAAAGCTTATCATTTATCAGCGACAAATAAAACAGCTTTAAGTACTATAATATTTCCTGGGATCCCATTTCATATTAAGCTTGATTTATCATAACCAAAATCATCAAGGACAGATAACTTTAAAAAGTTTCCTTTTAATTTATTTATACATAGACTTTTATAAAGCCCCCTCATTATTTAGCAAAAAAAGGGTCATAAATTTATTAGAGATATTGCGGAAAGACATCAATAAAAATCATATATAATTCATTTTATCATGAAGATAGGTACAAACGTACTAAACAAGCTTTTCCCTTAACAATGAAACAAGAGATCTTTTAAATAATTTTATTTGTTCTGCAACACTTCCATCAGAACAAAATGATTCTTGTTGATCTTTAAAACAGACATTAATATATTTTTCTAATCAGTTATCGTCTGCAAAATGACATCCCTGAGGTGCTTCTTCAAATTTCTGAGTGAAAGGAAGGCAGACGGAGCCATATTGGGTCTATCTGGAGGGTAGTCCAGTTCAGAGAAGTTGCAGTAGCGAAAGGTGAGTACATATGGGGCGTTCCACGCCAAATCGGACGGTTCGAAAAATTTTAATTTTCGATTTCCTTAATTTTTTTATATTTTTTAGTACCCCTCAAAAAAGCCTTTCTGGTAAATTTTCAGATTTTTTTGATTACTTGTTCAAAAGATATAAAATTTTCAAAAAAACGCTCTTTTTTTGGTTTTTTGATCATAACTTTCTTAATAATGGTCCAAATTAAAGCTTTTTTTTATAAAAATATTTGTTTTTAGATGGCCTTTACAGATAAAAATACAAAAGAAATATTCAAAGTGTTTTTGATTAAGATTTTTAAGTTTAAAATTTTAAATCGTGTTTTTGAAAGTGAGTGTATCTTTCGATTTTTGTGAAAATTTTCTATTTCAAACTACTATTCTTTTAACAACTTTTAGGACCGGTCCGGTCGTGGGCCCTCCATAATTACTATTTTTTTTTTGATTTTTGAAATTTAAAACAAAATTTTTCTCTATAAATCATTATAAGTACCGATTTTTGTATACCCTTTTTTACTTATTTTAAATTAATATTAATACTTTTTAATTATTAATAGGTGTTTAAAATCAATAAGTAAACGTAGTCTATTTATAAACAATGATAACAAACGTTTTTATTTATTTTCGTGTTCTTTTAAAAATTGTTGCAAAATTATTTTATCATTTTTTTTTTGTTGCAAAGTATTTTTTTTTATTTAAATAATAGTATCTTTATGAATTTCTATTCTATTTAAAAAGAGTCGCACATCTTATGATTATTATTGATGTCAAATTTTCACCTGAGAAACACTATTTAGATGCAAAAGAAAAATTAAATTTGCGATACAATATAGGGACCCAAAAATTTCATTCAATCATTCTAAGGAGCAATGGAAATATATTAGGTAAGGAGTATTCTAGTTTACAAAATAATATTTTGTTCCTTGGAATGATTGAATGAAATTTTGGGTTTGTTTGGGTTTGGCTGTATTGTAACGCAAATCTAATATTTTTTGCATCTAAATAGTGTTTCTCAGCTGAAAATTTGACAGCAATATTCATAAGATGTGCGACTCTTTTTAAATTGGATAGAAATTCATAAAGATACTATTATTTAAATAAAAAAAATATTTTGCAACAAAAAATAGCATTGATAAAATGATTTTTAAAAGAACACGAAAATAAATAAACACGTTTGTTATAATTGTTTATAAATAGACAACATTTAATTATTGATTTTAAACACCTATTAATAATTAAAAAGTATTCAAATTAATTTAAAATAAGTAAAAAGAAAGTAGACAGTGACAAAAACCAGTACTTATGATTTGGCGTGGAATGCCCCATATATATAAATAGATTTATCAATAGATTATCAAAAAACTTATATTGTGGGTTGTTTACCTGTAAGTCATCAATGTCATCATTTAATTTGTCAGAAGTTTTTTGTGTTTAAAGAAAATGATGTATCCGCAGAAAATCTCAATTTTTGTTTTCATATTAAAAAATACGTAAGTGGAAAATTTTATTGGTCAGTGACTTCTAATCTTTAATTCACGTACACATCAAATATTTGTAAAGGTTGTTTTCATTAAAACTAATACTGAATACCAACGAAAAAAAAGTTATTATTTTAATTAGTTTTTGGCTTGGTCAGATGTGTACTTTGCTTAATAATAATGAACTAATTTTTAGTCTCCATTTCTCAGAGTTCATAAAAACTTAATATATGAGATTTTAAATTTAATACGGGGGTTTATTTGTTGATAATTTGTAAATAAAAGTGAAATCAAACTTGTTTATAAGAAAAATAAGTTAAATTTCGCTAATTCCTTTACATGGAAACATGTTTTGTTGCAAATTCCTTTGTTTATTACCTAAATTCCAGCGTAGGAGGTAGTTAATGAAAAATGATCGAACCATGTTATGGTATGATGTCATCTAACACTGTTTTGGTTTATATTTTAAAACATAAAAGAATCACATTTATGAGATATTGAGAGAATTAAATATTGTTAGAAAGACTAAAATGTTTTTTACTATAAAACATCAAATATTATGTTATTATTTGACATCAATTAACGATTTTCGAGATGAACAGAATTAACGATGAAGAAAATAAATGCCATTTGACTTTATGTACTTATTTTGTTAAATGAAAAACAAAATGTTTTCTGAATTTTATTACTATCCTAGTTTTAGATTTTATATACTTTCTTTTTCGTTAAACCGCAGAACTGTTTTGTATCGATAACAAGTATAACTTTTTCATTTAAAAAAGTACGAAAGTCTTAAAAATGCTAACAAAAGTCCCATAAAGCAAGCCCATAAATGTTTTTGAGGATCAAGACTGCTAGGGGCGCTTTGCAAAATAGCGATCGGAAAATTAAAAATATTAGTAGAAATCTATTGCCATATCTTAAAAATTATTGCAAACCTTAACTGTCCAATTTTTCCTGACTTACAACAAATACACTAAATACATTAAAATATCAAAACAACCATAAAAACAAATGTAATTATAAATGATACATATGCAAACATTTACATTTCTTGTGCACATTATTTCTTAAACGTAAAAATAATACAAGGTGTCCGCTAGAAGTTTTTCTTAGTTTTACATATTCATTAAGAAGCATATGGAAAAGACACATCCAATTTCCAATACCTGGAACAGAATATTGTTATTGAAAGCTATACATTTCTTATTTAGGTACAATAATTCCTACATTTGTATACATATGTATATGTAATTGGTTTGCAAAACTTTATCAATGCCATCAGTCATCACCTAAACCCGTGGAATTGAATGCAATAAAGAAAGCTTTACGAACAGCCTATTATATTAAAAATATCTCTGCTTAAGTTGGCTTATATTTTAACTGTGAAATAGCTCAGTATCTCTAATCTGAAGTATAATTAATTCTCCGAAAACGTCATAAAATAATTAAGTCTAGAATCCTTGATGAACGCGTATAACTATTTGCATACAGAGTGATTCATAACAGGAGACGAAAATTAAGATTTTGGTTCAGAATTCAATTATAAGCAAATGAGATGAACTACTGTTTTTTCCGATCGGATTTTGTTTTTCAGATATCACGGCTGGCACCAAAATTTGAAAAAGAGATTTGTTGTAGGTAGTCCCACATAGGCCCAGCAAATTAAATTTTTACTCGAAAAAAGACCTATCCGCGAGATTATTGTAAAATTGTCTAAAGGAACATAATACAAGACATCTCTCATCTCGTGAGTCAGTTTTCGCACAATTCAATTTGTTTATAACGGAGGCTCCAAAAGTTATGAACTTTAAGCCTCTGTACAGGCTTTTGTATTTTTTTGCCAGCTATCCATTGTATCTATTTTCGGTGAGGTAGCATAAATAGCAACAATTTTATTCAAATGGTTTATAAGCGAAAAACGCATGGTTTTTTAATGCACAATTTGAGAATGTTAATGTCAAAAAAACGGTGATATTTTTTAATAGGTCACTTAATTACGTCTTTAAGATTACAATGACGCTGTCAGAATCATGTTTGGTTGAAAATTAACGCCTGTACAGAGGCTTAAAGTTCATAACTTTTGGAGCCTCCGTTATAAACAAATTGAATTGTGCGAAAACTATTGCATCTACAGCGCCCACTTTTGGCACACTATTAAAGTATGACAAAACCCTCAACTTGTCATAGGTTTTATAAAATTTTGACAATAAATGCGATAGTTATAAACAAATTAAAAAATGGGCACTTTTTTTGCAATAACTTTTTTGTTTATTAACCGATTTTAATTTAACAAGTCTCATTTTGTAGATAATTTTACTCCCTACAAGCTAACTGCGAGTCACTTTTCGCTAAAGTTGATGGTTTTCCCTGCAAAGTAAAAAAACTGTTTTCCTCACTTATTTGTTTAAATAGAAAAGTTAGCTAATAAAAGTTTTTGACTCACGACATGAGAAATGTCTTGTATTATGTTCCTTTAAATAATTTTACAATAATATCGCGGATAGGACTTTTTTCGAGTTTCTATTTTATTTTCGCTAATTTTCCTGGTGTAACAGCTCACGACCTTATTTTAAGTATTTGTTAAATTAAAGGTATGTCAGTCTAGTTTATTTATTTCCAAGATTTTCCTGAAAAGGGAAACTCGATAAGAAAAAACGATATATCCTATTTTTTGCTTAAAATTGGATTCTGAACCAAATCCCTAATTTTTCGCATACTGTTATAAATCACTCAGTATATGAAGTCAAATTATTTTTATAAAATCTGTACACTTGTTTTTGATCAATCGGACTATAAGATCTAATCATACTTCTATTTTTTTTTTCTACTGGATTTAAATTTAGTTTGACTTCAATGACATTTGTAGTACATACCTGTAGAAACAATAGAAATACCGCTGTATATCCGATCCTAAAAGAGGCGCTGTCTAGTTTTTCACTAATTTTTCTTGCACAACCAATGATGTTCATATTGTCTTTTACGCACTCATATTCATCCCCTGTAACTCCGCAGCAGTGGTACTGAAATACAAGATGGTAAGTTTATAAATGTTTTGAAAAATCTCAAATCATGTTTCAAATTGTTTTCCACAAATTTTAACTACAGGTAAATCAGAGTTTCACAATTGCAAGCAGTAAATCAAATCGTCGAGTATTATCTGCATGGAAATTATTTCTTTTTGCTTATCGTGTACAAAAAGGGAGACGACTGCATAGTTTCCAACTTAGGCATTTCCTTTCGTGTCATATGCGTGCATGTGCGAAAAACGTGTTACTGTTTTCACATATGTATTATTTATTCCAGAGTGTCTTTAAAATGGAATCGAGTGTACTGGCCAAGTAAAAGAGTCTCCAAGGTTTGGCAAGATTTAAATATCAACAGCAGGATGAGAAGCATTTTTAAAAGTATTTTCTATGGGATTAAAGGCACCCTCTGGGATCGGACAGCGATTAGTAATTATACATCTCAGAAATGAATACAGATTTTTGGATAACACATCGAACGTAGTGTAGTGATTGTCATTGATGACGCGCCTTACCATCATGAACAAAATGAAATCATGGCGTAGTTGCAAGGGAAAATATTGAATATGTGGATACGATGTTAAAGGAACATTAGCAACTGTACAAAAAGATAAAACTAAATAGATGAGATAAAATAGAAGAACAGTTTCTCGTAGCCACTTTTTGCTCGATCTATAATCAATTTTTATATGTAACGTTTCGTCTCTCCAGAACCATCATCAAATTCATTTTTTTAAATACGACCCTGGAAATTTTATTATATTTTATACTGTGCCAAAATTAAAATGTTTTTGAACATTTACTCAAATTTTTTAAAGAATAATATTCAGTTGGCGTTTTAGTTGTTCATATGCATTTTTAAGAATTAATTTGTCATAATAAAATTAAAATTGTAATAATATTTTAATTTTGACGCAACAACTTATTGAGTTATGTATGACCAAGTGATGGTAATAGTTAATAATAATAAATGTTTTATTGTAACGCGTGGTGGTAATAGTTTAAATAACTAGATGGATTTCACAGGGTCTAATGACACTTACAGTGTACGATAATTCAATAAACAAAGAAATCTAAATAAAAAATTTAGATAAATTTGGAACAAATATACTGAAGATGAATTTTTCGAGACAAAACGTCTGAATCTGGTTCGGGCTGAGACAATACAGTATTGGGGGTTATGAAGGCTTGCAAAAAATGCAATAAAATTTCTAGGGTCGTATTTAAAAAAATGAAGTTGATGATGGTCCTGGAGAGACGAAACGTTACATATAAAAATTGATGATTATGCCATACGATAGAGGGCAAAAAGTGGTCATGAGACAGTGTTGTTCTTTTTTCAATATCACCTCAAACAAAAACAGATTTACAAAATTTCGTTTTTTTTTTTCAAATATTTCGAAAACTAATCATGTTAGCCTTGATTTTTAGAGCCATAATGTTGGTCCCCTGATTTCGCAACTTTGCCCCCATTTAAGCTACTTCGTAGCTCTTACCGTTTCCGAGATCCCTGTAGTGAGAAGCGAATTTGTAACAGCTTGTATCGATGAAACAATTTTTTGTGCATTTACTGTTATTATAAAATCGTAAATTGGTGTTTGTTTCCAAATTATGAAAGTGTAAGTTACACCCAGTGGCGTACTCACGGGGGGGGGGTTCAACCCCCCCCCCCCCTATGAGCTTTAACTTTTAACAATAATTATATACCTATTAAAACTTCCTATTGCCGTATATATTTTGTTGTTTCCAATATCGTACTTGAATCGGACTAAACATTGCAACGTCGCTTTTTAGTTTCGTCTGCTTCCCTGTGCTCTAGTTTCGTGCCGCGAAAATCTTACTGCAAAGTGTAACCCCCCCCCCCCTTACAAAAAAGCTGTGTACGCCACTGGTTACACCCATATTCTTTAAATAGTGTTTTCCGCAAATACAAATAATTTCAAACATTTAATAACTGAATAATCTAAAGCTTATCAAATAATAGGAATGTTATGTCATGCCACCTGAGTATTTTCAAAGACGCCGCAGTAAAACGAATAAACAGGTGCAAAAAATGATCAAACCATCAAGGTTTTAGGTACTGAAATCTACGAAAATACTAACTTTTATAGACATAACTCCACATGTAAATATTCTTATAACATTTACTTGCTTAGTCCTACATATAAAATTGTTTACTTTTATTTATAAGTACGTGAAAATAATTCTTAAAATGTGGGGTTAGGATAACAGAAAACTCATGTTTTACAAACGCTTTTTTTAGTTATTATTTTATTTGGGTAAATTTAAATGATAACAATGAATAAACAAAACATCAAGGATTTTATTTTTGTGCTTACTTTTGTTCTACACGTTTTACTTTTCAAGATTTCAGTACCTAAAAATACCAGAAATTTCACCATTTCTCGGCCAGGGATATGGCCACCTTAAGAGATATTGCCTGATGTTATTTTTTGTACCATAATAATTTTAGTTTTGTATATTTTGCCATACCTGGATTTCAGTCAAGATAAGACAAAAAACTTTTCATTAAAAGATCGAGAAAATACAAATGTAATTAGTTCTGAGCATAAATGTGTGTTGTAGGTATTCTCAACAACACCATTTTACTTTTAATTTGTTGGGGAATTTAAACAGATGTTCCACCAAATCTTAAAACATTGTATTTTAATTTGGTCAACTTTACCTGATAACAAAGATAGCATCATATGTAACAAGTGATGTCACTTAACAAGATGGCCCTTATCTGTGAAAGATAACGGAAATTGGCTAAATCATTGAAAGATTAAATTTAATTTATGTATTCGTAGAACAAAGTTGTTTGGATCGCGTGGTTAAAAATTGTAATATTTGTTTCACTGAAGGTATCTTATCTTCTAAGTAGTAAAAACGTAAAAATAGAATTCATTTGATCATAGTCACGAGATAATTGGAGTAATAAATTATTGGCATAGTTTGTTCCTAAACCAATTAATTATTTTATAATCTGTAAAAAAAATCAATCAACTATTACAGTGGAACTGCAATAATACAAAAACAAACGTCAAACTAATATTTAGAATTGTACAAGCATGATACATTGCATTTTTATGCGTATACAATTTTAGTAATTTTATATTATGTTCAATGTGCAATCGGTATCTAGTAAAATTGCCAAAACACAAACAAACATATTTTTTTTTCTCTCATACAAGTCAAAGTAAATCTTATATTTTAAAACCTCCCATAAAAAAATCGAGGAGTGTTAGATCTGGTGACTTTCCGGGCCACTGAATATTGCTGCATAATCCCACCCTTATGGGGTGGAGCCCCGTCGTGCTGAAACCGTACGTTTGTCCTTAACTGCAAACTGCAAATGCACATTCTCCAGAAGTGCAGGAAGTTCTTCTTGAAGGAAATTTAGGTAACTCACTCTGTTCAATGTTTGTTCATTAAAATAAGGTCCAATTAAATGTCTACCGATGATGCCGCACCATACATTTACTTTAAAATGGCCTTGGTTTAGGACTGGATTTACAATGTGGAGATTTTGGAAATTCCGCAAGTAAGTACAAGGTGTTTAGCGGCAGAGGTTGGCTTTCAAAAAGTTTCGTTAATAGAGTATTAAATGACCAGTTATTACATCCATTGCACCTCCAATCAGTTCAAGAACTTTTACCTACCAATAGATCCTCCGTCACGTCTTGCTTTCAGTCAATGTATTCAGGAACTCAGAAATAGAGACGATAATATCCACAAGAAAATCCTGTTAAGACGAAACCGCTTTTACTAGAAGGGGTATTTTTAATTCATACAATGAACATGTTTATTATGATATAAATCCACACGGAGTCAATAAAAGTCTGTTCCAACACGAATTTAAGATTAATGTTTAGGCTCGTATTATTGGTAGTATTTTAATTGGTCCTGTCATATTATCTGCTACATTGAAAGCAGAAAATTATTTAGAATTTCTCCAAAGACCCTACCTGCCTGAAGAGTTATCGATAACACTACGAATGGAAACCCATGTAATTATTTCCTTTAGGGAGCGTTGAGGACCACAGTTTATCGCTTTTCAGTAAGAAATACAGACAACGAATTATGGGAATGAATACCAAAATGTTATGAGAGGTCATGCACAATTATTTTATAAAAATCATTTTAATTTCCTAAGAAGAATTAATGCCAGCGTTCAAGATCAAGGAGGTCACTTTGAGCATTTAGTATTACTTTAATGTGATTACTAATGTCAATTTAGGTTTATTTAAAATGTTAATGTTGATATTGTTTATTTCAAATACTACTATTGATTTTTTATTTTATTGATTAAATACGTCTAAAAATGTGTAGATAATTTTGTTTTTTTATGTGTTTTTTTATTATTATTCCCTGTTTTGAGGCTGCAGTTATAAATTATTTTTTAGTATTCGGAGTTTTTGCCTATATTTAATGTATAAAAAATGCCAATTTTACTCGAAATCCATAAACGATATCAAGATTTTGTAATAGGCAAAACATCTTCTAAAATAGTGCTTATTTTTTAAAATATAAATTCTGGCATCGCTGGGCTACACACTAGAAAGAGAACATCCTATATATGTATTCTCTCCAAATTCTATATTTACATTGGCCTTATATAAAAAAATATGTGTACCAAATTTGAAGTTTCTAAGAAAAATAGTTTCCAAATTATTTGAAAAAATTAGGTTTTCTATCCTACAGAGTGTTTCATAATATATGCGCAGGACTTCAGGATGTGATAGCTCGTCCAAAAATTTGAAAAAAGTTTGTATTAACTTACCCTCTAAAATGAACAATTTTCGAGATACAGGGTGTTGGAATTGTAAAAAAAAATTCGTTTTTTGCGAATATCTCCGGAACCGTTTATCGTACAGAAAACAGCTTTTGTAAGCATTTATTACTCATAATAAGTTATGTTCTGTGCGAGAAAATTTTTTTTTCCAAAGTCATAATTGGTGAAGATTTTGAAGGGGAAGTGGGTGTTTTTCTCCCCA